TTTCACTTATAAATGATACAAACATGTTTTGTAATACTTAGATGAACGTAACATTACAATTTTAAATTAGTAAATATAAAATTAATTTTGACAAATAAAAAGTAGGTAAAATGAAAAAAGCATTTAAATTTGTTCTTAAAAGTATTTTAAATGTATTATGAATGGTTTCTGAATGGATATTTTTGTATCTGTATTTAAATAAAATTTTAAAAGTATCTTTTACAAACCTTATATAATATGAAAATAATAATTATTAAAACAATCAATAAATACATTTTTTATTATTTTAGAGAAAACCACTATAATGATTAACGTTTACTAAGTAATAAATGTACAAAATTCAGATAATTTATTACCTTTGTTGATTTTAGGTATGGTATAATGTGGATCGGTGTCACTATCATCTAAAATTAAAAAAAAAAAAAAACAATAATTATAAATAATTCAATTTAATCAATTAGTTTAAATTATTTTACCAGAAATGTCACTTGAGGCTAGGCTCCATAAGCTTTTTTTAGTTACTTCTGGCTGACATAATTTTCTTTTTTGTTTAAGTTTTATGCTATTCTGTATATTATTATCATGAGAAGATTCATTATTTGATAAATCTGAAGTGGTTTTGGCTATGTTAGCTTTTTCTTGAGCAATATTATAATCATCTATAAATAGAACATAGAAAAAAATTACAATACAATTGTTTTAATAAATAAGATTATATACATTATTTGATAAAAGTTCTTGAAATGAAACACTATATACATTATATTGTACCTATATTCATCAAATTAAAATATTGTATAACATTTATTTAACGTACTTGTATCTTTCCCTAATTTTCGGCCATTTAAATATCTAAATTCATTTGAATTTGGTGATAATTGTTGATCTATTACTTTACTTTCTGGGCTTTTACAGGCCCTTAAGGCCCTTCGCCGCAACAACATATTGTTTCCATTTTCCTCTATCATTTGCACATTCTTCTGCGTTTCTTACGTTCAGGAGTTTCAAGTCTTCCTTTACTCTATCCACCCATCTTTGTCTGGGGCGTCCTCGAGGTCTCTTAGTGTCGGGTTTCCATTTAGTTATTGATCCAATCATTCCCTCTGACCTCCATACATGTCCTGCCCAACTTATCCTCGTACTCTTCAGGGACCCAACAATTGTAGGTTCCTTGTATAGATCATACAATTCCCTGTTGCCTCTCACCACATATTCTCCATCGTTATTTCTCTTTGGACCGAAGATTTTCCTTAATATCTTTCTTTCGAAAAATCCTAATTTTCCTTCATCCGATTTTGTCGTGGCCCATGTACTACATGCATACAGGGCAACCGGTTTGACTATGACTTTGTATAACGTTATTTTAGAATTTATTGATAGTAGTCTTGATTTGAAAAGTGGCATTAGACTATAGTAGCATCTATTTGCTGCTGTAATTCGTTTTTTAACTTCTTCGTGGCTATTAGCACTTTCATTGATCTCTGTGCCCAGATATTTGAAGCTCTGTACCCTTTCAAATTTGTAATCATCAACTTTTAAATAGCTAATATTGTGATTTCTTCTCGATAGTATCATATACTTTGTTTTTGACTCATTTATCTTTAAACCAATCTCTTTACCTTCATTTAGTAGAATGCTAGTTGTATTTCTCAGATCGTTCTCTGATTCGGCAATGAGGACTATATCGTCAGCGTAAGCCACTACGGTTAGTTCGTTATTGTTGTTCATTTTTATTCCTTTGGCTTGGATTAGTACCTTTCGTATAACTGATTCTATGGCGATATTAAATAAAGCTGGCGATAAATCGTCTCCCTGTCTGAGTCCAGTTGTCACTGGGAACTCATCTGATACCTCTCCTCCAAAACTTTCTTTACTTTTGGACTCATATGCACACGCTCTTATCATTCTGACTAATTTTGCTGGTATTCCCATATTGTTCATGACATTCCATAGTTTTTCCCTATTAATCGAATCGTATGCTGCTTTGTAATCTATGAACATAAGGGGGATGTCTTTATTGAACTCGTGACTCTTCTCAGCTAATTGTTTGATTATGTGGATTTGATCAACTGTTGATCTCTCTATCATGAACCCAGCTTGATATTCTCCTATTATTTCTTTAATATAAGGATTGATTCTGATCAGAAAAATGTTGGATAGAATTTTATAAGTTGTGTTGAGTAAGGAGATCCCCCTATAATTTTCGCACTCCATGATATCTCTTTTTTTAAAAACAGGACATAGGATAGATACTCTCCACGATTCGGGTATTTTTTCTTGTTCCCATATTATGTTTATTAATTTATGAAGTTGGTTTAGTAAGCATGGTCCACCCTTTTTTAAACATTCTGATACTATTTCATCTACACCTGGTGCTTTACCATTCTTAAGCATATTTAATCCCATTTCTAATTCATTTTTTGACGGGGCTTCGAGTAGCTGTTCTACTGTCGTTAGCTCGTTTACAGTGATATTAATTATTGGCTGGTTCAAAAGCTTTGCAAACATATCTTTGAATTCGCATGCGATCTCTTTGTTGCCTGTTAGAAGAGTTCCATCCCTTTTCCTCATAACATTTGGTCTAGGCTTGTATCCATGTCTTACTTCATTTGCTTTTCTGAAGAATATTTTCGAATGGCTATTTCTATTATTTTCTATATTTTGTATGCGTTCTTTTTCCCATAATCTCTTATTCGATCTAATCACCTTTTTTACCTCTCTTTGTTTGAGTGTCTACAATCTTTTGTTATCTTCATTGGGTTCATGTAGTACTTTCATGCGGGCTCTATCTTTTTCATGTAAAACTCTTTTACATTCTTCATTGAACCACATTTTCCTTGTTTTTTCTGGTATGTACCCAAGTACTTCTTCAGCTGTGGTTTTTACTGTTTGTTCTACTTCTTTCCATATTTCACTTATATTTGGTCTTTCTTGTATATTCTGTATTTTCGACATTAACTTTTCTTGATATACTTTAGCAGTTGATGTTTTCAGTGCATCTCTATCTATTTTCCCTTTATGTTTCTGTTTCTTTCGCCACTCTGTTGATATTCTGATATTTATTTTTGCTCTTACGAGGAAATGATCTGACATAGCACTACTCCCTCTCATGCTTCTTACATCTCTTATACAGGACTTAATCCGTGAATCAACTATTATGTGGTCTATTTGGTTTCTTACATATCCACATGGAGAAATCCATGTTTGTTTATGAATATTCTTGTGCGGGAAACATGTGGAACTTATAGTCATATTCCTAGCAGCTGCAAATGAGATCAGTCTATAACCATTATCATTAGATTCTTCATGTAAGCTTTCAGATCCTATTGTTGGTTTATATATCGTTTCTTTTCCAATTTTTGCATTAAAATCTCCGATCACTATTTTCGGTTTATCAGCTGGTAAAGAATCGTATATCATGTCTAAATTATCATAGAATTCATATTTTATCTCTTCATTTTTATCTTCAGTGGGTGAATAACAGTTAATTAAGATCAGATTGTGCCACTTACATTTAAGTTCTATGTAACATAGACGGTCATTTATAGGTTTGAAATTTATAATTTGTGGTAGTAAATTGTCTTTAATTATAAACCCTACACCTCGTTCATGTTTGTCCTCACCGCTGTAAAACAGAGTCATTCCTTGAGACTTCAAGCTCCCTGAACTTATCCATCTTACTTCTTGAATAGCAGTTATATCCATCTCGTATCGCTCAAGACACGATAGAGATGTTGTCAAAGCTCCAGTCCTAAACAAAGATCGCACGTTCCAGGTTCCAATTCGTAAGTCCGTTATCTCTTTCATCCGAGGCTTAGAATAATGTTGTTGTTTCTTAACAATTTATTTTTTAAGCGGTAGGGTTGTCGGCTCTACGCACAACCCCCAACCTGGAGGACCAGTCCACACCAACTAATTAAAGTCAGTGTGGGGCTCGGGGCCCCGGGTTCGCCAAACCCGTAGTACTAGTTGCTTAGTACCCCCCTGAGGGGTTGTTGATCTATGCATAATCTTAAATTTCTTTTTGGCCATGCACAAACTCCACTGTCATACCATTTTGATGGTACGACCTCAACAGAGTTGTCACGGAAAGCAACAATTGACCACATCACCATAATACAGCACACTTATATCAGATATCAGATTCAATTTAATTAGACAAAAAATAATTATATACAACTATTAATAATCAGAAAATATATTTAAAATGTATAAATATTTATAATAAACAAAATAATAAAAATTATAAAATGTGAACCTTGTTTCATAAACATAATTTATTAAAATATATTTAGTACATGCATATTAATCGTATAAGATCCTATAATGGGTGAAATTGCTTCTTAATATAATATAAAAAGATTAATGTATGTTTTGTGTACATTCTCTTAAAAATAAATTTTGTTTTATATATATAATATGACAAAGCATATATTATTACATCACATCAAAATACATTTGACATATATTATAATTTAGCTTAAAAATAATTTAATTACTTGTAGAATGAACTATTGGTAAAGCAATTCAATTTTCCTTATTATGTGTAATTATAACTTTTTTTTTTTATATTATAGATGTAATACCAAATATAATCATTACATAATTGATCAACTACATAAATATCCAACTTGGATGATTTTATAGGACTATTAAACATAACACATTTGTTTTTAAATTTTTTACATATTAAAATTACTTCATTCATATTTTTATTGTATATTATATTAAAAACTTTTATAATAATATCATCATTAGTAAGCAAGTAAGAGTCTGCATCAACATTGATTTTAATTTTCATAGATTCCAATGCTATAGAGGTGAACTGATCTCCATTATAATCATTGAATTCATTTTTCTATAATGGGTCCTCGTTTATGTGGCCCACTAAATTGATATGAAGTTTTTTTTTTAGTTCTAATTGTAGATTTTAAACAACAGATTTCATCATACCTTTTAACAATTTACTGTAGAGGCTTATGAGGTTTTCTCAACATTCTCTATAAGGATCCCATATAATTTTCAAAAGGGAATGCCGAACAATTGTCAAGTGGACCGAATTTTTCATAGTCATCACATATATGTGTTAAACCATGTATATTATGAGATATAAGATGTGGACCATAAATAATTTCAAAATTTTTTACGAAATTATCCAATAACTTTCTTGCAATGTGAATATATTTAGATTTGTCAGGACTTAGCAGTATTAACATTGCTATACTAAAACCAAAAAAATGTTTCCAATGTTTATCAGTTAAAACTGGTTTGGTAACAATAGTTCCAATATATAACAAAAATGTACGAAACTCTGTTGCCTTCCAACGATTAACTTCATCAAGCTTACGAGGTTTTCTGGCAAACTCATATGGCATATTAACTTTAATATCTTCAATATTTTTTGATATTTGTTTTATTTTCCAAGAAGGGTATCGAATATTAATTGGACCTTTTATCTATAACAAAATCATTTTTCGTACAACACCCAAACACACCAAATGCATGTAATCAAGGGAAAAACATGTAACTACGTCAAATTAAGGCAATGTAGAAATAATAGATAAATTACCAACATGATGATCTTCATTACTAATCCTGATGTAATTTGTGTGTGTTCTTTTTGGCGGACATCTTGAAAGTGAAGTATAAGGGAAACACATTCTATTTAATAAATATTTTCCTTCGGTTTCGCATCTTGAGCAAGAATGAAATCCTGAATGCCCCTTTGTTTTCAATAAAAAAGACTTAGCAGGAGCATCACAGCAAAAACTATCTATTTTTAAATTATAAGCTTTGTTATTGATTAAAATTCCAGTATCTATTAAAAGTTTAGCTTCGGTAATAAATTTTTTCATAAATTCATTGCTATCAGCTGGTTTTTCTTTACCACAATATATACCAATCGGAAACACATTATTATTTTCTGGACGGATGTATGCCAGTATTGGCCAAAACTGTTCCAGATTACTCTTAAATATTGGTAAGCCATCAACCCCTACCACAATGCTTATATCTGTCTGATCTTTAGACAATTCTGGGAAATTATTTTTAATTCCATTTAATAAACCAAAGTGGTAAAAGTGGTAATATGTGCCTGGTTCTACAGGATGGAAATTATTATTGTAGGCGCCAACAGAATTTTTATGTATTAATATAGTCCTGGAGTCTTTTGGCAAAAATTTAAAACATTTATGTGTCTTTAATAGAACTAAAAGTTTATTTAAGGCAGTTTGGGGTATATTACAATCAATAGCCCACTGAGCAATCAATTTAGAAAAAATAAATATTTGGTCATTTGTTTCATTAAGTAGATCATCCTTTTCTTCTTCAGATTCAGACGAGGAGGATGGAAACAGGCATGATGTGTTTGTATCTAATTCGTTAAAAAATTCTGAAACATAATCTTAGTTTTGATTTATCAAAGATTCATTTATTATTTCATCAGGTACAGGTTGGGATATTGATGTGCTGATAAAAGTATTAACATTTAATTGAGAATATTCATTATTACTAATAGTTTGTGACGTATTATAAGAATGTTCGTAATAACTAGTATTTTGCAATTCTTCTTGAACACGTCTACGTTTTGATCGAGCACTCAAATTTGATTTCTTGTTAAAACTCATAGTTATACCTATATACGGTATAAAGTAGAATGAATATAAAAAAAATTAACAATACAAATAAAAGAAATTGCTCAAATAATTATATTATTTAAAAAAATGTTATTTACATTGTAAATATAGTTATTTTTATTATTCATGAATCAAAACAAAAAATGAACATGTACCATAATTATAAGAAAGGGATATTCAATTAATTTTAATACATGGATGAGAATTGGTTTAAAGGGACCTAAGTTACATTTTAACAGGCGAACATAAAAACTACTTTGCTCTTAATAAATTTGCTTAGGTATTCAGATAAATTATAACAATTTTGATTACCTAAATAATATTGTATTAAAAATAATTATCAAAGAAAAACAAATTGTGTTTTTATAGATAGCCAACCATTTTCTGTGACAAAAGTCTCTTTCAAAAAATTCCCACGTCACATACATATTTATTTTTATTTTCAGTATTCAATTGTTTCCAATTTATTTACCTAATTAAAAGGTTTTATCACAAAACAAATATTATTTATTTTCTATGTATGGGATATAATTTGAAATCTATGTAAATAAGTGCATAACCCTAACATGTCATTTAAATTTCTGTTATTAACTAAATTCAGTACCTATACTTACCCACCAAAAGTTTCAAATTTAAATACATGCTTGTAATATTCTCTAAAAATATTAGTAAAACATACACTTATGTGCATAATAGATTTTTTCTACTAAGATTATTAGTTCTATATGAATCGTGGACATAGTAGTTGAGCATCTATTAAAATTTGAACAGAAAGATGTGTAATCTAATAAATTATTAGGAACCTATGCCACTTTTTAATACTATTTTTAAGTAAGTATAATAATTTTCTCAAATTATATGTAGGTACCTACCTACATATAAAACTGAATTTAATTTTTAAATTAAATTATTAGTCATACTAGTTATCATACAAAATCACGAGTACAATTTTTACATAATTATACTATAGGAAATTTAATAATAAACATCAATTTTTAACACAGTACATATTAACCTCTTCGTGCATGTAGTATCATATGATACCGCAACTAATTTAAACCGCTTATAAAGCGGGCTATACACTATTGTTCCACAAAATATTTGTTCCGATTCACTTTTGTTCCATACAAAAGTATGTAAATGTACAAGAAGTATACTTCTTCCAAATGTGGAACAAACATAGTGTGGAACAAAAGACCACCGGAACAAATATTTTGTGGAACTATAGTGTTTTGGAACAACATTTTTCTATTTCATCGGAACAAATGATTAAGAAAATGTTATCATATCCACATAATATGCACTTACACGAACATTCTGTGAATAATTTGGATTACATAGTGAGTATTCAATCTTTCACCAAGTTCTTAGAATCGTTAATAATATCTTTTTTCCGGAAAAAAAAATTCACTTCTGTTCAGTTGCAGTGCTTAACCACTCATCGAAATTCATTCGTTCAATCACGTATGAGGCAAAGAATTTCTAATTTCATGAATATCTATGTATTTTCTACATATTAACTTAATCTAAAGTCTAAACTCATTTTTCTTACAATGCACTACAATACCTAAAGTTATTTAAATTATATAAATATTTATATAGTAAAATATGAATGGTTCTTAGCAGCATACTTTTGAACTATTAACTACTGCTGACTTTCTATTTAATCAAGCATTCCATATTACTGTTTTGAATACATTCCCTATTTATTAACTTCACGCTAAACTTACTTAATAATGTAGCAATGTTAGCAATTCAAGGCCGTAAAAAACTTGAGGGTATTTTTAGAAACAAAATCACACAATTGCACTGTTTGAACTTCAGTCATCTTAATTGTAATACGCCGGAGAGGGAATTCAGCTCCTTTTTTTTCTAGTGATTTTACCATTCTTATTTTCATTTCAGGACACACTTTGTAGTCAAAAAAGGCTAAGCCAATAAGTGTCTCACTTAAGTACCATAAATGTCTTGAGAAGCTTTTGATTGCGGCATCAGCTATTAATTTATTTGAATTTTTATAATGATCGAGTTCCTTTAAAAGATTTAGATCGTTGTTAGGAGCTAGTTCTCCACAAGAAGAAGTATACCAGTACTTTATATAAACTTTTACAACAAAAATATTAAAAGCCTGAAATGCAGATAATTCTCGAGCAGTCAGTTTAAACTGCGATCGATATAAGTAAATTTTCATGCTATAAATTAATTTCGCCATCCATCTAGCTCGATGTAAAGCTCCAGGGGTACGAATGGTAAAATCTTTAGCTGTTTCGTCTCCTAAGAATATAAGAGAAAGTTGTAACATTTCTTTGTAGTCATCTCTAGGCTGAAATGTTGCTAGTTGGTCATTAATGAATTTGATAAGGACATTTTTTTGTGGATTTAATTCATTAGCGACTGTATCTTCAATAATTCCACTTTCGAACTTTGATGTGTCAATTTTGTTCCAGTTTTGTGAAAATCTTTGAAATATTTGGATATCGGGACCACTTGATGCTCCCATCAATGCATTAAACACTCTCTCAATAATGAGTTCTAATATATGGTGTCGACATGCCAAACTGAGAAGATCTCTTTTAATTTTTTTTTCAAGAAGTACACATGCACCGGTGTTTACTCCACTGTTACTCGCTGTTGTATCAAATGACATTAAATTAATGCGTTCGGTTAATTTCCAGTCTTCCAATAACTCAAACACTGCAGTTGCTTGGGCTTCTCCCGTTCCATTTGAAATTTTCGGCACACCAAGTAATTTCATAATACCATCCCCTGATACTATAACCGCTAGGCGATCAACTTTTTCTTTTGAAGTCAAAGCTGGAAGTAATTTTCCATCCCAATGTATTGTCAGTGGAGTAGTCGTGATGAATGAACTTCTTATTTCGTCTGATATTTTCTTTCGATATTCTCGACGACCTTGTCTAATTGACTCTCTATTAAGGGTATAGTTCTTTATATTATGCCCTAACGACTGCACAGTAGCCGATAAAACATACATTGCATTTCTGTCACTTACTTTTGTTCTATCTAAAGCTGATGCGACTTTAGAAGTAACTATATTGGTAGCTTTCAAAGAATTTACATTATTGGAGGTATTATTTTGTTTTAATCTTTTACTAGAGGGTACATACAACTCATCATCATTATCACTACTGCTGCAGTGTGAATCAGAACAATCAATATTATTATCATTAACTTTCGACATTTGTGTTTCTTCATTTATCCGTGCAATTTCCTTTTTTTTCCTCAATTCGTTTTGAAGCTGTCGCTCTTTGCTTCGCTCTTCTTTTTTGGAAAGTTTAGTGTCGATTGGGCCCATACTTCCACGCCTTCCTTTCTCTCTCTGAGCAAGAAGAAACTCTTTATCTTCATTTATTGTTATAAGAGTCAACGCATCTTTATGAGCAATATCAAATAAATTGTCAAAGTCACTGACGAATACAGATTCTATCTCTATTTGTCTTAGTGTTCGTCTTGAAGCACTTTTTTTGGTGTTCTGCCACTTACAGTGTATTTTTTTAATTTTTTCAATAATGTGACATTCTTTTTGGGTGGGGATTTTAGCTTTTTCCCAATAAGCACTAACTTCTCTTGCTGTAGTAGCACTAGTTTGAATAGTTTTTTTTTCAATCGAGTGTAAATGAAAAAAATGGCGAAGTACTTGTTGATTGGATGGAAGTTTACAGCCAGTGATAGATTCAATTGTCCCTCCAATCAACCAAATTCCACGATCTTTAGTATAATTTTTTGCTGCAGTACTAATGCTAGCCATATTATTGTTATATTTAAAATATAATATATTTAGTGTATATTATATGTAATAAATATTTATGGCGTATAAACGGCACAACTTGCACTGTATTGATAATGTTATGTTATACGAGAATATTTACGACAAAATAATAATTTTGGTAACTTTAAAATCACGGGTTCCGTCGTACAGACAAACACATACTAACGAGTAATGAATAATGGCAAACGAATGAAGTGTAATCGACGTGTTTTTGTAGGTAACGTGAGCACAATTGCAATATCGGTAGGTACTATTAATAAATTCGATAAATTACATGCGTTGCGCGACCTTTAAATATTAACCGAATGAGATAAATTTTTCACAAAGTTAATTTTATACTAAAAGGAACATTTAAGACGGGTGGGATAAAAGATATATTTAAGTTTAATTTTTTCTGTGGAAAATATTGTCACCCTAGTGTTGGCCCATTAATGGGAGGAGGGACGCATGATAAGACTATAAAATTATTGGTTCTGTGTGCGAGTCCAAATACTCTAATCCTCTGCGGAGTCACTGTATCCATCCAGAATCGCTCATAGTATTGCATTAGAGGTTCCAGTTCTATCACTAAATTATAGCTGGTAACTGTAGTTAAAAATATTAAAATCATATTCATAAAACTAACACCTAAACAAAAGACTTAACATTATTTAATTAATGATTATTAACTCACCTAGATCTTGAATTAGTCTAAAGCCTAAGTGGATAGAGAAAGAATTGCCATGATGTTGTATGACAACTGCTGATAGATGAACTAAAGCCATTAAATAATATAAAAAATGTTAACAGAAATTAATGTTAAGAAAAATCAATCAAATATTACAATTATACAAAAATATTGATATATTAGTTTGATTAGTAAATTTTTACTTGCATCCCTAACTAAAATTAATTTATTAAAAGGGAAAGTGAAATTTCTAACCAAAGAAAATTTTTTTTAATATTTACATGCAAGTATAACACTTTATTTTACTACAGATGTAATTATTTAGCACATATGCTATTTTGTTTTTTTTATTAAATTAAAACGAATTCTGGTACATAGTACATTCTTACTCAATATATTTTCCTTTGTTTAGTGGTTATACTGTAAAAGTTTTTAATTTTATAATAAAATTCTCATTTACTCTCTTATTCATTATAAAAAAAATATTACCATTCGCAGAATTCGCCTTGCATTTTCATTTTCTCTGCATAACGGCATTAGATGATGACTTCGAACATAACGTATAATGCTCTGAAAAAGACAAAATTTATTAAAAAACTGTCTATTATCTTCAAATGTCATTAAATAATTTATTTATGTATAGTAAGAGTTAATTTGATTTCTCTTTATTTTTAAGGTACCTACTTGAATATAGTGAAACCAACAGCCAGAATTGTTGGCTTCTGGGAGTACTCTACTTATGGCATTTCTTAGGCCCTGTTCAAAATCAGTCATGACCTGCAGATTTTCATAATTTATGTTCAACTGCAAATCATACCTTAGAAATTGGAGTACCCGCATGTAGGACTTGGTTTGGCAATCAACTAGTAGGGCATGTATAATTGGAATTGCCTGAAAAGAGATAAATCATATTTTAAATGTATGTATAATATTTACATGTGTACTATGTATGTCTTTATTTTAAACTAACCACATTATTAAAAATAATTTGTACTGTAAACAACTGTTCTATGTCAGCTGGTTGCCGTGGTCTTATTTGAAAAGTTCCGTCCATACACATTGTTCGTACTCCTTCGAGGTGTGCATTCAATTCCTGCATGAAAGTATTGTTGGTAAACACGAGTCCTACAAAGTGTGTACTTTCATCATCCCTTAATAACTCCAAGGGGCCTTGGTAGAAAGGAGTCATTGATCCATTAACATATCGCAATCTTGGGTCCCATTCATTAGAATTCAAAATATTTATCCAGTCTGCTAAAGAATCTGGAATAGGAGGATTGTTCCGATGCCTAGCTCCTGCAATAGCCCTAAGAGCAGCTGGACGACCTTTATACATCGCTGCTTCAGGGAATCTATATAATTATTTATTTGTACTTAATACATTTATATACAATCATGTTATAAGGTCAAATGATTAATTTGTTAAAAGACTTACAAATGCACTTCCTGGTCAACAATATTGTGTGGAATAATATTCTCCCTAATAGCTCTCTCTCTTAAACTGTTAACATAGCCTTGCAACGCCACTGCATATTGAGGTGCTGGTTCGTGACTATGAACATGACGTTCAGAAATTATAATTTGTGCTCCTTCAATTGTTGACATTTTTGCAGATACTGGACATCCATAACGATGATTTTCACATTTCAAATATCTATATTTTAATCACATTTATAATTCTGCATCATTAGATTTATGTTGAAATATAATTGTAAAATTAATGTTAATTCAAAATAATTGGAAATGGAATATTCTTATATTTTCTCATATTTATTTGAATAAAAAGTATAACTAATGTTTTGTATATATTATTAATACATTTTTTTTGAATTTGATGAAATTTTTTAATTAAAAAATGTAATATTAAAAATAAAATATGTTTATGAAGTTCCTATACTATGTACCTAACTTTCAAGGGCGCCGCCATGAATTTTGACAGGGGGGTGCAATTGCACCCCCTTGCAACCCCCTTGCGGCGCCTTTGCTAACTTCAATAATGTTCACAAATAAACTATAATACAATTTAATCATCTTTTTTTTTACAAGTCTTTTAGATTAAAGTTGAAATAATTATATGGCTAATGTTTTCCATTACTAACCGAATACTTCCCCTAATTGAATGTTGATAGTAAACATATCCACTTTCATCAATGTACACTGTTGATCTCCCTCGAAGTCCTGGAATTGCTCTAGATAAAGGTTCCAAGGGTATCGGTAACTCCAATACTGGATCAACTGGATCCATAATAAAAAAACAAGTAAGCTCAACAAGCGAAAGAAATTCAAAATATGTAAAAATTATAAAAAAAAATTATAAAACTAAACTAAAATTATTATATTTTAATAATTATTATATAATTCTTCTTCTTTTTAGTTACGGCCCTTAAGACCATCCTGAAAACACTAAATTTTGCCACCTATCCCTGTCCTCCGCTACTTCTCTCCACTTGACACCTCTATCTTTTCCACTTCTTTCTTCAAACCATCTTCCCATCTTAACTTAGGTCTACCTATTGGTCTTTTTCCATTAATTATTATATAATTAATAATAATAATTTTTTTTTAGCTTTTTATAACTATTATAGCTCTAGAAACTATTAATAATAAATTGTATCAAATTCATTAATACACCAATTTAAAATAAATATTAAATAAAATTAATAATAATAAAAAAACTATAACTATTTTGCAGTATCTAACAATAATAAATTATATTAAATGAAAATCGCAACATTCGCAAATGACTGTTAATAGCAATATCGCAGGAGTGACAGTCTTCGAACAAGTCTAGGAGCTGCCTGTAGTAGCTAAAGCTTGGCAAGTTGCAAGAAAACAATTTTTCCCCACCAATTATATGTAGGAGTAGCAAACGAACCTTTGATCTGAACCTGTCGTGTAAATTAAGAACTTGTTCCGTATGAAAAATAATAATAAAATTCCAACAAAATTGTTTACAAATTACAAGCAATATAATAGTTTTATTTATAATATATGTGTATATAATATATATATAAGTTATGTATATACATATATTTGATAAATAGCTCTTCGGATTTCTAAGTTATTAAAAATACTATTTCCAAGTATTCCTATAGCGTGGCTTATCTGTATATTATAAATTAACGGTATTATTCAAGGACTAGGGGTAAATTAGTACGTATATCCATCAACAGATTTTTGATTTTCGGCTTATAACTAACTTAAGGCGCATCCACATAGTATGCAAACACACAGCACACACACATACACAGCATTCATCAAAAACGGTGATAGTGTGGACGCGTTTGTACACATAATATACAGTGCATACGTGTGTATTTCGCCGGATTGTCGGTACATCAAAGAGAATTATGACTACTACTGGATGGGGTTTTTCATTATTTTGATGTAACTGCGTTATTGTTCACGCAACTTATTTAATTCATGTACAACACAAAAATCAATTACACTAAATACTATTATTATAAATCATTATATATATATTTCTAAATATTTAATAATATAGGTTTATAATTATTATCGATTGATGTAAAAATAAATTGCTTCAAAAAATATTTTTATAAACATCAAACCTTTAAGTGGAAAAAAATAAATATACATTGATTTATACCGTGTTGGGCATTAACTTAGGTTATTCTCAATTAAGTTAACTTATTATAAATGTTAGTGTCCAGGACTCTTATTTATACTAGGTTTAGGCTTTGAGCTAAGAAGGGAATTAATGGATGTTTTCTAATATGGCATTGCCATGTACTTGTCGTTCCAAATTCCTCTTTGTCCTTTTGGTAACTATTATGATAGTATGATATAGCTTTTGATGGTCGATATGCCCTACATAGTTTAGAATGTTTTAAGTGTTGAATATTATTAACGTATACGTGGGGATTACTACAACACCCTTAGGGGTTATTGTAATTATTTCTATCGGTATTCATATGTGGTATGAGTGGACGAGGTGGTCATGTAATTGCTTTATGTCTCTTTAGCG